GGGGATGTGCCGACTTTGCCGAGTTATTTCCCTCTTCTTAAAGACATTTTAGGACTGCGTACAAGCCAAGTTTATGAAGTAAGCTTTCCATAATTGTAAACTATCTTCACGATTTAAGTGGAATTTATCACAATAAGATATGATTAAACCTTTATGTAATAGATCAAAGTGGGGGCTCATAATGTCCTTTTACGTCTATATCACATTTAATTATTTTTACATAGGTCAAATTCGTGAGAACGACTGAATTCTATTGTATGTTTCTATAATTGTTTCGGGTCAGCCTATAGTAAGACAAAAGTTAAGTTCATTTGTTCTAATTTTTAACCCTAACTACGTTCATTTAACCCCTAGGTTCATTTATGTTTAAACCAACAAATATTCATTTTCAAAAGACATGCTTCTGTTTCAATTCTCACAAAAATATATTTCAATAATGCAGCAACGTTTTAAACAAGAGCTGTCCGTAAGACAGCGCGCTCGACTTTTTTATTGCTTGCCAATAAAAAAAGTTTTTGCAGTAAAAGGCAATACAAGAATCTCTGTATTTTTAAAGTGAACTAGTTGTTTGATACCCTTGAATATTACAGCAATGTTTATATGACATAATTTATGGTAAAGTGAACAAGTGGATAGGAATGAATTTTTTTAGATTTTTTAAGTTTTTTAGTGCTTGCCTATAATACAAAACATTGACAGTTAAGGGCCATAATTCAAATAAAATCTTTGACAGAATTACCTTCTCCTGGACATGTTTGGGAATCATGATTGTAAACAAGTATTCCAACTTTCAAATTAATATCTCAAACAGTTCAGTCAAAAAGTGGACTGGTACTAAAAAACTTAACCAAGATTCTAAGTCGATAAAAGGCCTTAATTTTTAAAACAAATCCTTGACAGAGTTACCTTCTCTTGCGTACAGATGGGGGTAATGATGTGAAATAGCATTAAAAGTTTCAAAGCAATATCTCAAAGGGTTAAGGCAATAAGTGGATTTTTACCCATATTCAATGTATTTTCTAAGTCAAAAAGGGGCATAATTCTGTCAAAAACCTTGACAGAGTTATGTCCTCTTGTCTGTTGATGAAGGTCGTGATGGTAAACAAGTATGGTCAGTTTCAAAGCAATACCTCCAATGGTTTTGAAATAAAGTGAGGTGGTACAAAAAACTTAACCAAGCTCAATACACTTTCTAAGTCAAAAAAGGGCCATAATTCTGTCAAAAACCTTGACAGAGTTATGTACTCTTGTCTGTAGATGGAGGTTATGATGGTGAACAAGTATGGTAAGTTTCAAAGCCATACTTGTAATACTTCTGAAATAAAGTGGGGTGGTACGAAAAACTTAACCAAGGTGTGACGCCAACGCCGACGCCAACGCCGACGCCGACGCCGACGCCGGGGCGAGTAGGATAGCTCCCCTTTTCATAGAAAAGTCGAGCTAAAAAGGGCCACGGGTTATAGAGACACGTTCAAAAAGATGTCAAAATATTTTTGCTCGCTTTATAGTAATCCAAACGTCTTATGAACAATAAGGCATTTTAGTCCCATTTATTTCTAGATGTTGTATTTTTTATCGATGTTGTTTCATTTAAAGGAATGGAGCGGGTACATGGGTACTAGTATGCTTGTCTGGGTCAAAAGTGTGGCCCATAGGTCTGTTGGTCTGTAGTAGAAATTACGATTCTCCTGATTTTTAAACTTTAAATTCCAGCTATCAATTTAGCCCTAATGGAATGAAAAGGTCATTTATGAGGCCATTTTCCTCTCCCAATAACAATTACCGTTGCAAAATTCGGAACAGCTATGTAGCAGCATTTTGAGTAAATACTGTCGTATTCAGTTAGAAATCGTTTCTTTGACTTACTCAAGTCATTTTGAGATTCATTTGTCTACAACATGTTTAGTGTACAAAGAATTACTCACAAATTCTTTAAAATCGCCGATAGTGTTCTCTTTTCCTTTAAAATAATGGTAATTCTAAAACCGTGCCAGAAAGATTATAATTATACTACTGTACAAGGATAAAATGTATATTGTTCTAATTTCTTGTCAATACAAAGACAAAAGAAAAGTGAATAGGAGTAAGGTTGAGGATTTGCCATAATTGTACTGTAACCCAATTCTTAAAGTTCATCGAGTTAAGGCAGTGTGAACTGAAATCATATGTATGCCGTATCTCCAGTGTATATATATGTAGATATCACTGGCTTACAAGTTTAGTTATAAAACTTCTGCCATAGCCATGAAGATCTGCGTCGCCTTTGCTGCCCTCGTAGCCGTCTGCCTTGTGAGTATTATTTATAACAATATTACTTAGGATATATATATTTCTGATGCTTTTTGGCTTATGTCAATTCTTATAAAATGCTTAAGCTTATACATTAAGTCACTTTAGGGAGGGGGCAGTGCAGTATAAATTTGATATTGCATTGGTTTACAATTGTCACGTGGCAATCATGGATGAATTGAATCGGATACTTGTACATGGACATATACATCAGTGTAATATTTCGATTCACGGCAAACTTCTCAGTACTGTTGATGAAAATATAAAATACAATTGTTACTTTTCTTGGGTGGAGTGTGAGGCGTATGGTCAGTAACATAGTCAGTAACGTAGCAATGCTGTTATTGGTGTTTTTTCCAACCTTGCTAGTGGAGAAAGACCTAAATTAAATGAATCAGAACACATAATATAAATGTTAATCTGGCATCTGGGCAGATTTGATTTGTTCCTTTCTTTCAGGCGGCTACAACTCAAAAGCCTCATCACCATACACACGAGCCAAATGAGGGAGAATCGTTCACATTTGCTTATAATGGTCACACGGTATGTAGAAACGTAAAATATGAACTTAGTTTGCGAGTGGGTGCTTCACTTAGACCTATATACCAACACAACAGTCTTACAAATTGCTAATAGAGTTACTGTTCTAATTATTTTGATTTTCAAATATTTTTACTTAGAACTTATATATATAATATAGCCGTTTGTGTCTTAAACTGTCATTTAGGTGATATAGTGCAGTTTTTGTGTGGGTTGGTTGTAGTTGTTATAAAATACATTTTTTCCTCCAAATTTCAGCATGACTTTATTGTGAGGCATCGTGCGGGAAAGACATACATATGTTACGTCGCAACAGTGACAGCAGACGAGATGCATCTGGTTCACACAGACGCTGGAATGAGAAGTCTTGAAGTAAGACCTTCATTTAATTTTATATTTTCAATTACTGTGTTTTGAATACACTTGTCTATCAATAGTATCAATGACAATATAAGATGTACATGTATTTATACAATTGTTTCATGCTTTTCTTTGGGTGGGGACCAGGGGGTAAGTGGACTGTAAGTTACATACATAAATATGATAAAACTGTCCCTATTCATGTATCAATAACAATCACTTCCGATTACAGACAGTTAATGGTAAAACATTGATTATGTATTGCTCGTTTAAGATTTTAACAAGAACATGTCAATTCTGAACTTGTTTTTAGGGTTTTTTTTAAAACTTTCTTCTGATGGGGCATTTCCTGTCAGGTCAGTATAAAGAAGGGTACGCCGATGACTTTAAACCAACTAAATGCTAGTGCTACTTGGGATTAGAGTTTCGTCAAAAAAGTTGCAGACAACATATATATGGGTACGAATACGAGTATAATAGTTATAAAATGCTTAGTTAATACCATTAGAAGCATCCACGCAGTCTGGTCAGAATCCATGCTTTTTGCTATCAGTTTCTCTACTTGTTATACGGTTTGTAAGCGAACAGCATGGATCCTGATCAGACTGCGCAGGCTGGTCTGGATCAATACTGGTCGCAAACGCATTATGTTGGTTTTGTCATGGCGCGGCTATTTCTCTTTTGTTTTCAGCTGAGAATATTGGGACTACTTTCTTCAGCAACAGAAGTTCAGCCGTCTGCCATTGACGCAGGTAACGTGAAATTGTGTGGCCACCCTCATAACGCAACAGTGATTTACAAGACAATTTCATAAACCAGGGTTGAAATATTCCAGTGTATTCTTTAATTTTGAATAAATTTTAAAATAAATTAATCTGAATGTTGTTTTATCTCCTTATGCAAATCAGAGTGGATGTTAAAATGATGTTGTCATAACATTAATCAAACATGCTATACCGTGGTTCCTTTTTTTAAATGTGAGAAAAATGGGCTACATTAACATTTTTGCCGATAATGTCCCTTATCAGACAACAGTACACGGTCATAATAAACATCAACAACATCAACATTTTATTTTGTAAATAAAGGCCTCCGGCCCAAAATACACAATATAATCAAAACAGAAATACATATTTAGCTGTGTCTACAATATACATTGTTATATATGACATGCTTTCCTATTGATATTAATTATCAACAATTTTCATAATTTCATGAACAAAAAAAGCAATATTCTTTATGTTTTCTTCATTTTTAGTTTTAATCAAATTACAAAAATTATGGAATGTATAATCATGACTGTACCATGGAGATATATAACGTTGTCTTTGTTGGGAAAATCTATTACAAATAAAAAATACATGAAATTCATCTTCGATGAACGAATTGTTATAATTTTGCAAACAGTGTTGGCAAATTCGCTCATTTCTTGGTATACCCAAATGTCGTCCAGTTTCTATATATAATTTATGACTAGAACATCTAAATCTCGATAATGATCTTTTTACATAAAATGGCATATCAATAGATAAATACTTTTCAGGATTTAACATAGATTTGAAAAATTTATAGGTGTCACATCGGGGTGAATTCTGAATTTCTTCCATCCAATTTTGTGTCTTACAATCAATAATTCTTTGTTTAAATTGACAAAAAAATAGATTGATATCCCCAATTTCTTGACTTAGCCATACAAAGCCAAACCCATAAGTATACAATAAGTTTTTTACTGAAGTAGCCCAATTTTTCTTTCCAACATTATCTTGTCTAGTTAACATCAAATAACAATTTCTAGGATATCTGTGTTCTGGCATACAAAGAAGTTTACACCAATATTTGATAATTGTTACATGATGATCAATACATAAAGGCATCCTTCCACATTCTCCCAATGCAACATTATCATTAACAGAATAATTTACACCTAGAAAATCTTTACAATATTGTATTTGAACTTGTTCAAGAATTTCGGAGATTTCACTTCCATAAATTTCGGCACCATAGGTAAGTATAGGTTTTACCATAGAGTCAAATAATTTAAAATAATCAGAGTGTAAAAACTTTCCAAAATTTCTTTGATATGATTTAATAGCATAAATAGATTTCCTAGCTTGTGCAGCAAGTTTAGTTTTTGCTTTTGTCCAAGATAATTTAGGTGTAAATAAAAGACCCATATATTTGTACATTGGTGTGACATTTACTGAACTGCCGTTGTAAAACCATTTTTCATATGATCTGAGCGGTCCACCATTTCTAAATACAATAATTTCAGTTTTATTCTCATTTATAGACATACCGGTATTATTACAAAATTCTGAAATTGAATTTAATTGAGACTGAAGTTCGATCGCAGTATCGGCGCAATTTGCAACATCATCAGCGAAAAGAATGCATATAATATCGGGAATTTGATTCGTAATGAATATACCGCGATGTCCCTTATTACGCAGAAAGGGAGATAACTTATTTACATTGTTACGTCCCTTTGCCTTGTACCTATGTTACATTTAAAATATTCTGAAGTTTCGGTAGAACTTGTATATATCCACCGAGTTTTGAGTACATTGATAAAAGAAGACGGAATAAATTCCCTCTAACACCACATCTGTTTATAGTATTGAATAAGTTAAAATGTTTTAGTCCATCGAATGCTTTTTTAAAATTTACAGAAAGAACATAAAATCGTCCGTCCGGTTTACTTATATATTTCTGTACCATATTTTGTAATATAAAATATTATCAATTGTAGAGTAACCGGCTCGAAATCCGACTTGGGATTCATTTATTTTATCAATTTTATAACCTATCATATATAATATTAGAAAATATCTTATACATAACATTGATTAAGGAAATTCCCCTATATTTAGAAGGGTCATCCTGAGGCCCAGACTTGTACCCGGGTACTATTATACTATCCCTCCAAATGTCTGGAAAACCCCCAGTACTAAATATCTTATTAAGCAATTTACAAAGGACAGGTGCGATTAATGACGAAGTCTTTTTATAGAATTCTGCTCCGATGCCATCACTTCCCTATGATTTTCCACATTTCAATTTGTTTATACTTTTGATGACTTCATCAGAGGAAATTCCAGAATTTAAATACAGATTTTCCTCATCGGTATTAACTCTAAAGTCCCAATTACTTTCATATATGTTAGGCTGGTTACTTTTAAATAATAAAAATAATCAAACCAAGCACCCGTATCTATAAATGAAGATTGTTCATTTATATTACTTTTTCTAGATTTTAACAGTTTCCAAAAGGCTTTGGGATTTGATCGTATCGTAATGAGTTGATCGCGCTTAGACTTTTGGTAAAGATACTTTTTATATAGCAAGTTTTTTAAAACGTTTTTGGAGCGCTACACATTGTTGAAAGTCTAATATGTTTTTAGTCCAGCGAAAACGTTATAGAGCTCCGTATTTAAGCTGCTTTCACATTCTAGGTCTCACCAGGGTTGATTATTATTCACACTATTTCGCGCTAAATATCTAACGCGCATATTTGCTGATGATTTTTTATAAATATTAATGATATGATTAACTGCATTGTTAACACTTAGATCTATTTCATTAAGTAAATTATCTCGTGTAGAATTATACTCCGCGGTAAATAATTGTAAGAAATCCGCCATATACCTATCATTCCATCTATATTTGTCGACATGTACTTCATTAAAGGTTTCATTTTTCTTATTATATCTAACAAATGGTTGCCCTCGCTCTAAAGTCAATCTTGCACAAATTGGTAAATGATCTGATTCGTGACGCTCTTCAACGTTAAAATAACTTATATGAGAAAAAATATCAGACGAGACAATGTGATAGTCAACAACACTTGCTCCATTGTAAGTTAAACAAGTAAAATTACCTGCAACATCATTGTACAAACGACCATTTATAATATGGATACTATGAATACAACATAATTCTACAAGAGACTTCCCAAATAAATTATATCTCTCAATATATTTGTTATTTTTATAGAAATTTCAAAATAGTCTGAATCATAATCAACTTCTGTATTAAATATTACATCTAAATTATCATGTGGAATATAATCTATTACTTTGAATGGTTTTAATTCCATTTTTTTCGGACTTTTTGTCATAAATATTTGACCCTTCAGGAGAAACATAAACAATGTATAAAATAATATCTTACATGGATCTATACAAAGCACTTTTAATATATAAAACTATACAATCGTTAAAGTCATATACGTGAAATAAAATTGTTTTTTATCAGGTGCGATTTAATATACACGGAAACACCACCACTGTTACGTAAAGAGCCAGAAGATTTTAAACGTATGTTATCAAAACACGTATAACCATACAAAATATTTGCAAATTCATTTTCAACATCATTCCAAGTTTCTATCAAACCAATAATGTCAAACCTTTGTAAATAATTTAAGAAATTGTAGTCATGTACATGTTTCTTTAAACCGCAAATGTTCCACGTGACAATGTTTATATTTACACTTGGGCCTTGACCTGTTTCCTAGTCTCCGCCTAAAACCTCACTTTTGATTCCTCCTTCGTTTCCTGATTGGTCGCCATCGCTAACAAATGTATCATGTGACACTGTTTCCCGCCTAAAATTTCGATCACGTGGTCCTGTAACACGTTCGCCTATCACTCGTGTAGATCCGATTCTGGTAATCTGGTTGGTTAGATCGTCATATTTGTAAACACTATCGTCAACAATAAGTTTATCATAGCGTAGTGACGCGTATTGTCAACTATTTCTAGCCTGTACTAGTTTTTGACCTAATTCACGCCTTTGTAACTGAACACGTTCTGTGAAATCTTCCCTTACTGAAAAAGGAGACCCTCTATTCAAAACTTGTCTCGCTTTTTGGAAAATATTTTCGCGATCTTTAAAGTTGGCGAATTTAGCTACAATCGGGCATGTTTCTGTAAACCTACTGCCAACACGATGGGCTCTTTCGATATGCACATTTTCCATTTCTGGTAGACCCAAGTCATTTTTGATAAATTCCCGAACCTTTACCTCGGTGTCCTCCCATTTTTCACCTAGTTTGCCATGTATTCCATGGAATCTAAGATTATTTCGACGGGATTGTCCTTCTAAATTGTCAACTTTTATAAATAGTTTCTGCATTTGTTTTTTCATATCTTGATTTTCTTGTCTAAGTGCCTGATTTTCTGATTTTAAAGCATTTACAGCAGAAGTTATATCGTCAATTTTTGAATTAATGGCCGCTAAATCAGTCCGCATTTCATTTTTCATATCTCGAAGAAAAGATAATACCTCACTATCCTGCCCTGCGGTTGCTCTTGTTGTTCGCTTTGCATTTTCCTGGGATGTTGTCGGAATTGTTACCGATCCTGAGGGAGAGCTCGTCACTTCAGCGAAAGAAAGTGTACGCTGTTTCTGTGACCTTGGCGGCCCGGGGTTAGTTTCCACATCCCCACCCAGTAAAGTTAACACAGCGAGAAAAGCTACTAGTCGTAAACAAACACTTACACTACGTTACACAAGTTATAAGTATTCCAAGTTTCATGTTGATATCTTTAAAGGACTCCACAGAGATAAAACAAGAGGGCCATGATGGCCTGAGGTCGTGCAACTGTATATAGGCCCCCCAAACCCCCCCCCCCCTAACGTTGCAGGGCCAATTTAACCCAAGGGCTTTTATTTGCACAAACTTGGTAGACACCCATAATAAGATGTTTCATGCTAAACATCTAAGCTCTAGCTCATTGGGCTTTTTAAAAGAAGATTTTTTAAGTTTTTACTATACACATATAGTTAAAAACAATGACACCTCTGGGGCGGGGCCAGTTTTAACCGCAGGGCTTTTATTTGAACAAACTTTGTAGACACTTACTAGAAGATGTTTCTTGCTT